CCCCCTATAACACTGTTGATAATTCCGTTTTATATGAATTCCATGTTGTACGAGTCACTTAGATTTTACAAATACGTGAACCGTTCACAGCCCGGCATACGTATTTGTAAAATCTAAGTGACTCGTACAACATGGAATTCATATAACACGAAATTATCTACAGTGTTATTGGGGGGTCTACTGTAATTTATTTTTCAATAATTTCACTGTGAAAATTAGTTACAAAACACAAATAAGAAAATTTTACTCTCTTGGAGGAAATTTTTGACATTCATTTTAATATATTTCAGGCCTTCTATATGGAAAAAAAAACAACTTTCAGATTTAAAATAGATCTAGCTTGATATACTGTGATTATTATTCAAGCACTTTAAAAAAAATAAAAATAAAAATTCGAAAAAAGTTTGTTGAAGTGTGACTGATAAACTTCAGAGCATTCATGCGATTAAAATCAAGATTTTGGAAAATTTTGAATATTCTTATTTATGTCAAGATTTTCTATAGATTGATCACGATTTGCGATGATAATTTCTTACTTTATGCTAATTCTAATTTAAAATTTAACGAATTTAGGGATCGAGGAGGAGGAGAAGCTTATTCTGAATAATCTGATGTTTCTACTTACAGATATCCTGTAGAAATACTTTAAAACTTTAAGAAAATTACAGTAATTTTTAATGAATTTAATATTAAATTAATTGAAATTATTAGAATTTCTAAATACTTTATTAAATTTTAAGCAAATTTGTCATAAGAAAGTAAGAGAAATCATCGTGTTGTTATTTTATAATGATGCTACTTACGTAGTTTTCTATATAAATATTTTAAAATTCTAACGAAATTACAATCATTTTTAGGAGATTTAGCATTAAAATCAAATAAAATATCTGAATTATTAAATATTTTATTATTATTTTTTTTGGATGGAAGTGGCTAAGAAGAGATTGCAAGAAAATCAGAAATTGTCGTGACTTTTATGTTTCTAGTTACACAACATTCAGCAAAAAAATACTTTAAAAATTGATTTTGAAGGAGATTTAAAATATTAAATCAACTAAATTGTCAAAATTATTAAATATTTTATTACTTTTTTTTTTTAAAGACAAATCTACTTTTCGTATCTTTGAAGAGTGTGCAAGGTAATCAGAAATTGTCGTGACTTAACATATTACACGATAGAAATGCTTTAAAAATTGATAAGAAAATTATAGCAATTTGACATTTAATTAATCAACTAAAATAACAGAATTATTGCATTTTTTTATTATTTTTTTAAGTAAATATTCCTTGGTATCTTCGTACAGAGTGAAAAGAAATCAGACAAATTAAAGCCACTTTTATGTTACTAGTTACACAATATTCGTCTAAAATACTTTAAAAATGATAATAATTTATAAAAGATTTAGTTAAATTTACCTTAGGTAGCCAAAATGGCGGCTCGTTTCTGATACCAGCAAACAAAAGAAAGTTTCACGCACGTTCTAACCTAACCTAACCTATTCTAATAAATTACCATAATTATTACCAACCAAATTATTAAAATAGGTTAGGTTAGATTAGAACGTGGTCCCCACTGTTTCCTTTCTTTGTTTACTGGAATCAGAGATGAGCCGCCATTTTTTCTACCTAAGGTAAATTTAACCAAAGATTTAATAAAAAATCAATTAAATTATCAAAATAATTAAATATTTTATCATTTTTTAATTAAATTTACTTTAGTATCTTCGTAGAGAGTGCAAAAAACAAAAAAGAAAGATCAGAGAAATCGAAGCCACTTTCCTATTATTAATCATACAATTAAACAGAAATACATTAAAAATTGATTTAAAAAAAAGTATAATAATTTATAAAAGAATTAACAATAAACCAATTAAATTGTCAAAATTATTAATCATTTTTTTTTTTAAATCGAATTTGCCTTGATATCTTGGTAGAGATTGGAAGAAAATCAAGGAAATTATCGTGACTTTAATCTAATATTCACACTGGAAAATAGCTAATACTAGAAATAGTAAATATATCACACAAGTTTACTAAACCAACAGAGGAATTGGTTTAGCGAAACGGGCTCGAGAACATTTGCATAAACAAAGACACCTTGCAACAGTAATGTTCACAAAATTCATATTCACACACCTAATCTTCATACACCGTCCCGTTCATTATTCTTCAATTCAATTAATGAATATATATACATGTTTACATTTCATTTTCGGTTCTAAACAATTACTAAAATTATCTTCTATTCTCTTTACACGAAAGATTTCCTACTAACTTATAATAAAATCAAAATTTAATCAAACATTCGACATTATGCAAATTTCTCTATTTTATCCTACTACGTCAGGAATGGTGACGTCATTTTATCACTTTTAAAGGTAAGTTTTCGTTGCACGTGACATTGATTTAGTGTTATCGACTGATTTCTGATACTTTTTATCTGTAGTTTTTTAATGAAAGTTTTGTTCGAAATTCGTCAAAATTGTCTGCCTTATCTCCATTAAAAAAGCATTAAGAGTATTTAAATATAATTAAAATTTTAATCGTGATTTAAAAAGATTATTGGTAATTTTGTTTTCTACGTGAAATAATTTAAATTTCTTATTTAAGAAAGCATTTTTAGTATTGATTTAGTATCGAAAATATTAAATTGTGTGTAAAATTAAGTTGCAAGAAATTCAAATTTCGTATTGAAATGATAGGTTTTTTTTTTTTTTTTTTTTTTGCTGCTGACAGGCTAAATATAGGATATGTTTGAGAATAACACTAAATATAATCATTTTATATTAAAATTTAGTGTTAAAAACGTTAAAATGCTTGTAAAATTAAAGCTGGGAGGGCTTAAAATTTCGTTCTGGACCAATGAGTTTTTTTTTTTTTTTTTTTTTTTTTTTGGCTACTGACAGGGTAAAACAGCGGATGTTTTGGAAAATAAATTAACACTAGAAGAATTATTATTGGTTATAAACCATAGGAAGTTGCCTATCTTATAACATTCTGTCGGAAATATCTCGTAACACTGTCTATACCTTCACTGTCGAGAGATAATCGCCTGTAAACATTGGTGACATTTCCTGATGGGGGTTATTTAGAAAGACATTTATGACGTCGAAAGCTTTATTATACGCAAAAAAAATAGCAATAATAATCACTGCTAAATGCAAAATTACGTTAACACGATACAATAATAACCTGTATATTAAGTTATACATGTTTAATTTAGGCTAATTTATCTGTAAAGGACGTTGATCGTAGATTCGCACTTTCCTTTTTTTTAAAAAAAGAAGTATTGTTTTAATGACAATTGAAAGGAAGAAAGTCACCTTTGTCATGACATGATAACTCTTCCATCTTCTTGCTGGACATCTGACATATAAGAACAAGTCATCACGCTTGTTGACAATACACATTCCTGTATGTAGCTCGCAGTCACGTGTGTCGAGTGATTTATTGAAGATTTGATACAGTAGTGAATAAAATTCGTGTTTTCACATATAAATCGCTTAGAAACAAGCATTTAGAGAATTTATATACATCTTAAACAATAAATAATATAATATAATATTGTTAAGCTGTGTGTTAAACAATTTTAAACAATAGCTTCTATTGTTTACAACTTCCTCTATCATGAAGCAGAGAGTTTAGAGAAAGTTTCATCAACAATTCCTTCAAATTATTCATTTCATTTCATTAAGAAAAACCATTATTTTTTATGTTTTTAATACACTAGAATTCACAATATAAAAAAAAGTAATAATTTTCTTGTGTCTCTCTCCACTTTTAATGGATATCTAAAGAGTTATCTACACTTAAATTCTATTGTTTTTAATGTGCAGAATCTAAGAAGGAACCCCCACATTAGGCATTTTTCCAAAAATTAGGCAGAAAATTAGTAGAGAATTTCTGAAAGAGATGCTAAAAATAACAGGTGTCACGAAGAATTCGCTTGTATACATGACCTCGAACTGCTGTAATAATTAAAAATACTCCCACGAAAATCTCACTCCACATGACTATATCACGTAGAAAAGAAGAAATTAAATAAATTTTTTTTCCATTAAATTGCGTGATTTTATTACAAACTTTCATCGAAAAAAAAGTGCTTAGTTTTATTTAATTACATTGACGATGAATTATTCTTAGGTATGGAATTTAGTTAATGATAAATTATATGATTCGCGTGTTATACAGAACAAACTAACGAGTTCAAAATTTGTTTAACGAGATATATTCAAACGGTATTCTATGAATTTAAATGAATTTCTAGAGTAACTTATGAGTAGAAACTATTCAATCTCAACTTTCCAAATCTTGGAATAATTCCAGACGAATACAGTCGAACCCCCTATAACACTGTTGATTTTTCCGTTTTATATGAATTCCATGTTGTATGAGTCACTTAGATTTTACAAATACGTGAGCCGTTCACATCTTGGCACACGTATTTATAAAATCTAAGTGACTCGTACAACATGGAATTCATATAAAACGAAATTATCAACAGTGTTATAGGAGAGTCGACTATTCCGTTTTATATGAATTCCATGTTGTACGAGTCACTTATATTTTACAAATACGTATGCCAGGCTGTGAACGGCTCACGTATTTGTAAAATCTAAGTGACTCGTACAACATGGAATTCATATAAAACGGAATAATCAATGATCTTATAGGGGGATCGACTGTATATTTTTTGTGTCTATGTGTTTTCTACGTGTATATTATGTATATATTATCGTATAGATAATATATATAAGTTGTATTTTGTGGTATGTTTGTGTTAGAAACACTAAGATATATTTTAATAAAATGATATAGTGTTATAACACTGTAAACACAGGAGTGTACGTGCTTAAGGTGGGCGAATTTACATAAAAATCTTTGTAAAAAGTGATATTATACTTTTAAAAAGTTTGTAATGTAGAAAAAGTCTACATTTATATAAATTTTCATTCAGTTGTGTTGTTTTTTTTTATTTTTTTACACCTGATGTGATACAAGTCGTAGTAAACAGCACCTAAACTAAATGGAAATTTATATGAATGTTGTCTTCCCTGCATTACCGACATTCTTTTAAAACTCTTAATGTTATCTCTATGGAGGTTTATATACTACTTATCATTAAATTACGCATTAAAAAGTATAATTTATTTAATTTTTTTTACCTAAATTATGCTTTATTATTATTATTTATTTTATTTATTAACAATTTGTGTGTAGAGATTTCGTTCTTCTTCTAATTTACTTTGATAAATTATTAATATAAAAACTAATTTTTACGTTTTACATTAATTATAATGTCTGATAAATTATACGTAAACCCATAAATGGCCTAGTTCATAAAGCCACTAAACACTGGTCGTTGGTTCGCACCTCGCCAGTGGAGGTTTTTGATGATTTTTTTAACCTGTTTAACACTTAAATAGGGACCAATATTCGTATAAAGTCCTCCAAACACTTAAATAGAGGTTCGTTTTCCATAGAAAGTCCTCCCAGAATGTAACACTCCTTACAGATCGTCAAAAAGTGAGATCAATATAGTTAAGCAATGGCTATTTTGGAATGTTATTTTAATAAATTAATAAAGAAAAAAACATTAATTTTCAC